GGTGCCCTTGCTTTCATTGTCCATCCACGAATGCCGGCTAAAAGGATCTTTCCCATCTCCTTTGGTACTCGTCGCGAGCATAGCCGTAGTCTTGCTTAGCATCGTTCTATAGGCTTCCAATGCCTACTCATCCTTGTTCAACACTTTCCAAGTTTCTTGTGGCCTCCAGTACTAAGTTCACCGTCCAACGCACAATGTTTGGTAAGCTTGCTTTAGATGAACAAAGTTTCAAAGTTGAACTTCGGAAGATATTTTTTCGACAAGGCTGACAAATCATTCCTCCTGGCTTACTAAATTAATAATGGATGGATGGATCAAACCCTTATCTTTCGCATTTTCCAATGAAATTAGTTAAGTTTGTAAAAGTAGGTAGTCTTTCTTGCCGTCTAAACGTCTAAAACTATGTTAAGTACTACTAACCAAACTGAATTACATAATCGCTCTGGATGCTACCTGCTTTCACTCACATTTAAGAGGGATGTAGTTGAGTATGCAACCCTTTGGTCCAGACACCGAGAGACACAGATCCATTTGCTCAGTTCCCAAAGAGTGAAAAGTTTTTACAGGTTGGACTTAAAAATAAGTTCTTCAGTTATTGTTTGATAACTGAACAGGCCTCGGCAGCTCTGACTGAATGTCTATGGGTGCAGCATTTACCACCTGTAGCATCAATCGCTATTGATTTTAAGGGGCTTCAAAATGTCGTAGGGGTTTAAAAAAATTTAAAAAAAGGTCGCAAAGCTTTTTTAAATTGGCTGTAGCTGCTTAACTACTGTAGGCTTATCTAACGAGTTCCATAAGACAAAGAGCCTACACAGCATTATTGGCTGATGTCTTGGAAAATCTTCGTCTGCACATTTGGGGGACCATTTAGTGGTTTAGTTTAAGTATCTATCTTGTCGAAAAAATATTCTCTAACAATACACACATACATATGTACATGCATATGTGTGCACCTTTTTGCGCTTTAAAAAGAGTTATTTTGCACTGCAAATTATTTGTAAAAGTGATAAGAAGGGACTGGATCGGTTTGAGATAACGAAGGTGTTATGCAGATTAATGGTAATATCCTCAGTGAGGTTAAGGATATAATTTTAAATTTAAGCTATGTTGATGTTGCTTTGAGTATTTCGTATGTAGGTGAAAAAAATTGTTAACATAAGCTCTTTGCCAACATGGCTTTCAAATAAAACCAAAAGCTAGGGACAAGTAGGAACTAGCTCTGTGTATTGAAAAAGATGCCGTTTCTTTGTTAAATTAAAATTAAAAATTAATTATTTTAAAAGCTTGGGTAAATATTATATATTTTTTTCTTTTATTACTATTACTTTTCAACACTGCAAACTTTTCGCTGTAAAAATTATGCACATGTATGTATGTACATATGTCCCTCTGAACTTAATGCAAACTAATCCACAATATGTCACTCATACGCCACGTAGGCACCCATATTAACAAAATAACAATTTAATATTATTAAATAATTGTTTCTTTCGCTCTGGTGTCAACGGCTTTTGCATTGCGGTTGACTGTTATATGCAGCTACCCGGTGGGAAATTAAAGCACTGCACATAATGTCAAATGATCTACTATTTTGCTCTGCCAGATTCGAATTTCGAATCGAAAATGCCGCTTACTCTTTTCGGTATTTTATTCTTATGAAAAATATTTCCAAACCTATAAAAGTGCAACTTGTTTATGTTAGCTTATCGAGTTGTAAGTAATTGTGAAATTGTTTGCGTGATTAATTGTGCTGACAAAGTTTTCGGTGCAAATCTCACTCCGCGATTATAATTTTTTTTCAAATGGAAAGTAATGACTTAAGTATGAGTACTATTTTGGAAAAGAAACCAAATAATTCGGAACTACTATTTCTTCACGAAAATCGAAAGTACTTTGCGAACTCGAAAGGTAGCACACATTCCAGAAATATAATCAAGAAATACTTAAAAGCTCTATTACTGGTCATTGAAGCCCATGTCAAACTGGAATGTAATACATTTGGATCAGTACAGGTTGCGCGGCGAAGAACAAGAAATAGCAGCGCACTTAATGTGCAACAAGACAAATATCTTCGCCATCTTTGGGAAGTTTAGTCATCTGTTCGGCTCGACAGTTTCTCCTTATCGAGCTTATTAATTGTTTGATGAAATCAAATAAATATTGAATTACATCTCTACACTCAGAAAAATACATTTCCACAAAACAAGAATCAAGTCTTCTTATTTTAGAGTTACTGTTTTTTCCTTTATATTACGAAAAATTTGCTTAATTTGAGAAGTTTTTCCGGGTTCAGGTTCATTCTAAAAATAGTGCGTCATTAATTTGAGAAAGTAAATTAACTCAATATAAGTAATAATTTGCTTAAATAATTTTGAATTTTGTCAGTGCTGTTAAGCCAAAGTAAATTGCTTTCCTGGCAAATTTCGGCTGTTGCGTCGCGTGAACACTACTGCTTCTGGTACTGAGATCGCTGGTTTGAGTCCGGTTGAAGGTGGTTAGGGTAAGGTAAGTCAAATATTTCAATTTAAATATTAACTTTAATTTTGCAGTTTCGATTCCGCATGGAGATAGTTAAAGTAGAGTAAGTCAATTATTTCAATTCAAATATAAATTACAAATTGTAAAATTAATTTCATAAGCAAAAACCTAAATACTCAAATGCCATAAAAAATAAATTAAATATTTTTGCTTTTTAAAATACAATTTAAAAATTATATTCGACAATTTTTATTGAGCTTGACGCCGTTTTTAATGAAAAACTATTGTGGAAAAGCAACGTAAAATAAAAAAGCCATAAAATAACAAAAACAAATAATTTAAAAATTACAATAAAAAAATAAATACAAAATATTTAAAAAAAAATCTCCTGCTCCAGGATTGCGACTGTTTAAACGCCGCGGACAAAATGAATAGTTATTCCTCTCGCGGGGGATGAAATAATTTTTTAAATAATAAACATCTCCTCCTGGCAAATTAATTTTTCCTAAGAAGAAAGAAAATAGTACTAAAACTAAGGAATTGTGTTTTCCTTAAACTGTGTCAAAACGTTTACTCATATTAA